TCAATCATCATAATCAGCAAAAATTTCATCCTCAAACAAAACAATATTTCTTTTTAGTGATGATCACAAATAATTTGTTCTGATACAGAGTTCAAGTCAAGGACCTCTCATACGAACAATACATAATCAACTAACATAGTACAAAAGAGATGTAAGTGAAATCTGAATGTCCCATTGAACAAAAATCCTCAAAAAACATATAGCACATTACACCGATAGATTAAGATTAAATTTGCTGGAAAACCTTGTCAGCCGCTGCTATTGTCCGTTGAATGTCCTGAGGAGTGTGTGCTAAGCTTGTAAAACCAGCCTCAAACTGAGAAGGTGCAAAATACACACCTTCCTCCAACATTCCTCTGTAAAACCTGGCAAACTTTGCAGTATCACTCTTCTTTGCATCCTCGAAGTTATATACAGGGCCATCTGTGAAAAAGAAGCCAAACATCCCACTTATATACCCACCGCATATTGCATGCCCAGCCTTCTTTCCAGCATCCACAATGCCCTGAACTAGTTCACCCGTGACAGAGTTTAAGTAATCATAAGTCCCGGGTTGTTTGAGTCGCTTAAGCGTGTGGATACCAGCAGTCATTGCCAGTGGGTTTCCACTAAGGGTCCCGGCCTGATACATTGGTCCAGCTGGAGCAACCATCTCCATAATCTCCCGCTTTCCTCCATATGCACCAACTGGTAGTCCACCACCAATAATCTTCCCAAGTGTTGTCAAATCAGGAGTTATACCAAAATACTCCTGAGCACCACCATATGACAAACGGAAACCAGTCATAACTTCATCAAAGACTAGGAGAGTACCGTTATCTTTGGTGATTCTACGGAGGTAATTTAAAAACTCAGGTGTTGGTGGAATAAAACCAGCATTTCCTACTACGGGTTCGAGAATAACAGCAGCAATCTCTCCTTTGTTCGCTTCGAAGATGGTTTCGACAGTTGAAATATCGTTGTATGGAGATGTCAATGTTTCATAGGTAGCTGCCTTGGGAACGCCGGGGGAGTCGGGGAGCCCCAAAGTAGCAACACCACTGCCTGCCTTAACAAGGAATGGGTCTGCATGGCCGTGGTAGCAACCCTCAAACTTGATGATCTTTTCACGACCGGTGAATGCACGAGCCAGACGTAACACGCCCATACATGCTTCTGTACCGGAGTTGACAAACCGAACCATTTCTATGCTTGGAACAGCAGAGATTACCATTTCTGCCAGGATATTTTCTAGAAGACAAGGAGCACCAAAACTAGTTCCTTTCTTCATTGTTTCGGCCAAGGCAGCAAGTACCTGAAGGTTATCGAT